CTTCCGCGGAACGGCTGCCGATACAGCTAGCGTACGTCTGAACACGTACAGTACCTCTACCAGTACATCGCCCCGGGACAAAGCGCCATGCCCGACTGGAGTATCGCCCGAGATCTCCTAACTGGAAGCTTAAAAAATCCGACCAAGGCAGGGCAACGGACCCGGCCTCTAGTAAACTGACAAATTCATTATAGCCAGCTCGTGTGCGTTGGGCGGGTGCGAGCATGTGGTGTCACTTCCCGTCGTGCTTGCGCCGGTGTTCGCGTGTGCTGCGTGGTGTGTGTCCGTTATGGTACTGTATGTGCTGCGGTGCCGTGCGTCGGCGTAGCATCGCGTGCGTGCTCGATCATGCGCGTGTGTGTGTGCGTGCGTGCGTGTGTGTGCATTTGCCACGAGTGCGTGTCCCTGTGCGTGCTGTGTGTGTTGTGATGTGTTGCGGTGTTGTGTGTCTGTGTGTTGTGTGTCTGCTCCCCCAAGCGCGATCACCTGCCGGCACTGTCCTCAATTTTCGATAGCCCCGCGCTGATCATGACGTCATGCAGCCTGCCAGCGGGGCTGCCAGCATAGATAAGACACTCAGCATGATGGCGTGTACTGCTGCGATACCTGCGTACCAGGTACGAGTGACGGGTGGGGAGGGGGGCCTTACACGCAAGGCCTTATAGGGGTCAGTCGGAGTAACCCGTTAGCACAAAGTCCGATACCATCTACGATGAACCCGATATGCGTGCGGGTCAAGAGTACATAATAATGGTTATTATTTTGTACTCTTGGTGCGGGTAGATAGTAGATACACGTCTAGATGCGATGTTTGTTGGTTTATATCTGTCGTGTTTGCGTTCGCCAGAGATGAGCTATAGTCAGCAATTAAATCTGACATGCGCGCGTACACCCTACATGAGCACTTTACACCTATGTTCACTACATAGATAACCATCTATGTATACAACTATGTAAATATATATATATATATATATATATACACATATATGCGTGTGGGTGGATTATAATATAAGTAACAGCTCATGCATTTATAATAGGCGTTGCACACAGACGCAGCTTGCTGGTGCATGCAGGATGCAGCTGTCGTTTCTACTTACAAGTGTTAACGTCTTGAATCCGATAGCAACAAGCGAATAGAATCGATTGACGGAAACTTGAATATTGTTTACGATGTTATCATAACATTACTCCCCGTGCTATAATAATATTACTCAATACACCGCACCCACTGGAATCCATACGCCCAACCAAGTGTTAACCAAGTGAACTCTGTGATAGCGACCGTATATCGGCACGTGCAAAAACAGAATACTCGTGGCTGAGAACTGCCGGGTGTTAACTTACCAGCAGACTGAATCCGGGAAGGGCAAACAGGGCGTTCACAAACAGCTGAAGAAGATGCTGAATCTCCTCTATCGGATGATGGCTGGTTCTATGAAGCACTACTGATGCCTGCTCGGCGAGTCTAGGCACCTAGACGCGACAATTTACAGATATATATATAGAGAGAGAGTGAGAGGGGGAGAGAGCGTGTGAGTGTGTCCGAGCGAGACTTGAGGGGGAGAGTGTATGTGTGGAGCGATACACACCTATACCTATATCTATACCTATACCTATCTATACCTATACCTATACCTACCTATACGGATACCTACCTATACAGATACCTATCTATATACCTATACCGACGTTCTCGTGCTATCACGACGCAGCGTAGATGGGCAGCGGTATTTTTTAGGAAGTGGATTATTTTTGGACTATTCTTACGACATGCAACGCGCATGCGCATGCGTTGCGTATTTCGTTATACACCATAGATTGTTTTTGTAAGATATATTACCTATATAAGAAATGGAGTCGGTTTATAGTTTGTGTTAGGATTAGGGTTCGGTTTCGTGTTAGGGTTAGGGTTAGGGTTAGGGGTTATGGAGTAGGTGTAGTCGACTCCCTAAACTAGAATTATATTACTATTAATAGTATTATGCGCATGCGCGTTGCATGTCGTAAGAATAGTCCATAAATAATTCTTACGACTGGTCGTAAGAATAGCCACGGCCTATTTTTTATGCCTGATCTTACTGTGCTCATACATTGCCCGGGTTTAAAGTCTCAGTATATTACCATGCAGATACAGCCGCGCACCGTTCATATTAATAACGGGTATCAGAAGTAGATAATAGGGAACTATAGGAATTATAATAGGAACTAGGGTTCCCTATTATCTACTCCTGATAACATGTACCTACTTGTACGGGAAGAACGACGTAAAGCCATTACATAGGCGTGAATGTATACATGTATATATACATGTGCTCAGTATTATCTTTATAACTAAGACTACATTTACTAGTAATTTAGCGGAGTTACATATTATTAGTAATTTAATAATTACTAAATATTAACTAATGCATAGTAATTTAGAGGCGTAGCATTATTACGTTATAGCATTAGCATATGTATATTAGCATATCGGAGAAATAGCTGACTCACCTGTATCGATACAAGGTCGTGACTCCTTTCTAGAATAGATAAGAATTGTCTCAGCTGCTGTTGCTGTTGTTTCTGCTGCTGCTGTTGTTGCCGTTGATGCTGTTGTCCTTGCTCTTGTTGTTCGATTGAGTCTGCGATCTCGGCAGTTATAAACCCAACACAAATTTCCACAGAAGGGGCGTCTGCGAAACAACAGCGTTTGTTACGTCACTGCCTGCTGCGACCACGGCTGCCGACACCAGGCGGTATAACTATAGACACATGCATGCGAGGGTGCGCGGTCCTACCACCACTCATGCAGCTGCTGCCACGTGGTCGTATATGAACTATTATAACTCTCACTAGCAGTGAATGGCTGCACGCGTGAACACGCAGAAGCTAACAACTATAATATAACGCTTACTGCCGCATTCGTACTACTGCCTAGCGACTGCATATTGATGCGGCCAGGCTAAAAATAGCACAAGCAGCAGCGGCAGTGTCTGAGCGATGTGGCTTCGTTTGTACTGTCGGGGTTTCGGCGTGCCGAGGTTTTCTGCGAAAAATCTCCGTAAATTTTCAACACGTCGCTTGAACCTCGCGGGTCGGAAACTCTCGGGTTGGTTTCAATCTGCTCGCGTCACGTGACGCGGGTAGCCCCGTCACGTGACGCGGGTAGCCCCGTCACCTTCTTCCCGCGGTCTATCTTCACTGTATATCATCGTGACGTAGATCAGCGATTATACGCGTCATCATGACCGCACTGGGTTCGCGTACCTTGATTCGCTTGGGCGCCGGTAGGTGGCGCAGGTAGATGCTGGTTGAGATATCTCTCGCCTGTGCTGACTGCACTGTCCATGGCCGTGAGCAGTAGCCGCCCACAACGCGTGCGCAGAGCCCTGTCTAACTGTCGGTACCCAGCAGCTCTAGCCGACTCCACCGTCTGTGAGCTCGACAGTCTAATCTCACCGATTATCTGCGTGGGTAGATATATATATATATATACATATATACATATATACGTGCATTTGAACATGCATGACATACATGTTGATAAACTTATGGCGTGCGCGAAAACATAGGCGTCTTGAATGTATTGGGGACATTGTGACCCCACATATTAATATCTAAATGTAATGTAGAACATGTACGTGATAGTGGATGCGTCAAAATAGTCATTATTCGTTTACCTCCGAGGGTTGCCGCTTGACTAGTGGAAGAGTCTCCTCTAATTTGTCCAGACCTTTTTGAGCATATATGTCCGCGACCGCAACTGAAGATAACATGCATCGATATGAAAAGATGTTTGTATACATAAAAAAGGGTAGAGAGAGCGTGCGAGAGATAGCAGGTGAGAGAGCAGGCGCGCGTAAGAGAAGGAAAAAAGAAATGAAGACAAGGTAAAGGGAAGGGACAATAAAGAGACGGAAAGGCAGAAAGGTAGCGACGGAGATAGAAAGAGAGAGAGAGAGAGAGAGAGAGAGAGAGAGAGAGAGAGAGAGAGAAAGAAAGAGAGAAGGGACAGAGAGAGAGAGAGAGAGAGAGAGCGGAAGAGGCGAGAGAGAGAGAGAGAGAGAGAGAGAGGAGAGGAGGAGATGAGAGAGCGATGAGAGAGAGGAGAAAGAGAGAGAGAGAGAGGAGAGATGAGGATGAGAGAGAGGGAGGGAGAGGAGAGAGAGGCAAGAGAGAGTGAGAGGGAGAGAGAGAGGAGTGAGAGAGAGAGAGGAGAGAGAGCAGAGAGAAAAAGAGAGAGAGAGAGAGAGAGAGAGAGAGAGAGAGAGAGAGAGAGAGAAAGAAAGAGAGAAGGGACAGAGAGAGGGAGAGA